GGGAATGAACCTCAATCCTTATTTCAAAGTCATACACAAAACTCAAAATGAATCATGGAACTAAATAAAAAGATAAAAAGAATTCTTACAATTTAGTATGTATAAGACAATGCAATTTATGAAAAGTTGACAAGAGATTTGAAAAGACCCTTCAGAAGATATATGAGTGGTGAATGAACACACAAAATCAGGGATCATAAGGAAAATGCAAAATAAACCTACAATGATATGCTACCACACATCTACTAGAATCACTGAAATTGAACAGACTGATGATACCAAGTATTGGTGAAGATGCAGAGTCACTGCAACTCTCATATATTACTAATGGGGATGTTTTCCAGTTTGGAAAAATAGTTTGGCAATTCTTTAAAAGTTAAACATACAGTACCATGTTGTTGTTTTGTTGTTATGTGCCATCAAGTCGGGCCCGACTCATAGCAACCCTTTCTTGGGTTTCTGAGACAATACTGTATGAATCATAAATTCCATTCTCAGATATTTACACAAAAGAAAAAACATATTCCACAAAAAGAAACATGTAAATGTTCTTAGCAGCTTTATTCATAATAGGCCCAAACTGGATAGACCCCAAATGTCCATCAGCAAGTGAATGGATGATCATACTGCTATATTATAAAATGGAATACTAGACAGCAACAAAAAGTAACAACCTATTGACAAATGCAAACACATGGTAAACTTCAAAAACATTATGCTGAGTGAATGAAGGTAGACACCCAAAATACATTGTGCATGGTTTCCATTTATATGACCCCTAGAAAACATAAAACTAATCTATAAACCAAATCCAACCCACTGTAATTTGAGTGGAATCCAACTCATAATGACCCCCATCAGCTTCCAAGGCTATAAATCTTTACAGAAATAGATTACCTTATCTTCCTCCCATGGAGTAGCTGGTGGTTTGAACCACTGACCTTCTAATTAGCAGCTTACCCACTATGCCATAAGAGCTCCTTACACTCATTCGTAGTGACAGAAAATAAAACAGTGGCTGTCTGGGGCTGGGGGTGAGAGGATGGGATGACTGGAAAGATGCACAATGAAACTTCTTGAGGTGATGAAAACTGTATGTGTCAAAACTCACTGAAGTGTATATTTTAAATGGATATGCTTTATTGTACATAAATTATAGCTCAATAAACTTGATTTAAAAACAAATCAAACAGATATCCACAAATTACATAAGTATAAAGAAAACAAATTTGTACATAACAATTTCGTAGATTAGGTAAGTTCCTGTGTTAATGAAATTGCTATTGTAAAAAGATAATGAGTATGGGTTTTCTCTATTATAAGAATGAAATGTATAAATCTTTAGAAAATGCAATGATATTGTCTCACTTTAAGAGGCATAAATAACTAGGAATGTTATTCTTTGTTAACTGAAGTATAAGTCTTAATTCAATTAACGAACATAAATATTCTATTCAAAGTAAATTTGTAGGGCAAGATAGAGATGTGTTTATTAGTACTAATGACCCATCCATCATACACTTACAAAGAAAACCCTTCATTTTTATTATTATTTATATCATCTTACAATTTTCACCTTTTTTTTTTTTTTTTTAACAACTTCTTAGTTCATACATGATGTTATTATAGGGAGTGTCCAGCCCTTTTTTTCTCTTTTGGTAAATATTCTCATTGGTTATTATAAAATCTCACAGATCTCAAAGAATAGATGCCAAAGAATACTATGTACAGTGTTAAGATGAATAGAAACACTAGAGGAATCTTTATCGACAGTGTAAAAGAACTAGCTCTGTCCGGTACCATTTCCAGCTCTTTCCTACAAACACCTACAGTTAAAATAAAGGAAAATTTCCCCTTCAAAGGAGACACTCCTGTGTCCTTTAGATTCTCTTGTCTGGCATAGTTTTTTCCATCATCCCAGTTACCCACTGAGTCAGTTCAAATACATAAATTAATATTTCTTGAACTGTGAAAGGAATTGATGTTACCAACAATATTCATCAAGTCATAAGAAGTTTCACGTCACTCAGCCAGCTTGGTACACATTCCAAGAACTCATCGATCCTTTCCAACGCTTTGACACATTTCATCCCTGACTAACCTGTACATCTGTAAAATTTTAAATTTTTCTTTCTCCTCAAATTTCCATACTAGGCTGCATGTCACTTTTTATCTGGGCCCAGGTTCATCACCTTTTTCATGTTAAGCTGAAATTACAGTCTTGGTTTCTGAACCACTGATCTCTGCCCACAGGAAATTTCTGACTGGCCTTTGTCTTAGTTACTGCCCTTCAGACTCTTACTCATTTCTTGAGCCAAACTACAGTACTGGAATTCCACTCGGGCTCACCTCTACAAGGGTTCACATTCCAATCCCTTTATATTCCCATCTTTATTTAAAGGCTGTTTTCCTCAAATGGCCATAGGGATCAATTCAGCTTGTATTTTCCCCTAAAGATTAAAGAAAGTTTAAGATCACACATTTATAATTAATAACTCACATTCTCAATTCACAGGCTCTTTTGTATGGGGGCATGTTTTATCTTTTATAACCAGGCATTAATAAATTAACAAGTGATGAAATCTTTAAAGAGAAATTGATCCTTTAAAGATTTTATTGTTGCCACTGTTAGCACTGATACTTGTAGTACTGGTTACCCTCAACCCAAACTTACTGCTCCCTGATAGTCCTTAAAGTGGGGAAGAATTTTTCCTTTTTTTGATTTTAGGTTTTTAGCCCCAAAGAAAAACAGTTCTTTCCCTCTTTCTCTCACTCTCTTTTACTCTTTTCTGTTCAGCTTTCTCCACTGAAAAATTTGCAATAACTTGAGGACTATTTTGAGTATATGAATACCATAATGCACTCATCCCCCCAAAACAAAGAAAAACTACTTCTTCCTGAAATTAATCAAAGACCATCCCACAGATACATGGACTCTCCTATGTTAAGATTTGTCGCCACCAACTCCAGGCAATTCAGAGAAGACAGGTTGGGTTTCTTTTCCCTTACGACTCAAAAGAATTAATTATGAGGTCTGGAAACCTGTAATCAGTTACCACACTTCACAGGAAGCTTTGGGACTGTCTTACAAAAATTAAGATTCCTGCTGATCTGTACCGATATCCCAGAGCGCACCCAAAGGGCAGGATGATTAGGCCCCTACATCAAACCTGCACAGCACTTGGCACTGTTAACATATAAAGATCAATAGGAGAGAGAGGGAGCAGCCATGAAAATGTGCCTCACAGACCTACAAGGACAGGAAACAACCATCAGGGGACACAGTTGTTGTCTCCGAGACCCTCTACTGCATTTGTGCTGACCATAATTCCCACACACTATTCCCAACCAGTGATCAAGTGCAGGCCACTTCTGGGAGAGCAGGACTTGGCTGGAAGACTCCTGATGGGCCTGCACTGGTCTAGGATGGATATGGTCATTCATACCTTCCCTCCCTCCCTCACTGGGGCTCCGACTTGCATGGAGCTCTGACTGCTGTCTTCCTTGGCTCTCTTCCCTTTTCCTCTCACAGGTGTTTCTCCACTTGCATTGCAATCCTGTCCTCGGGTTTACTTTTCAAATGATCCAGACTAACACATAAGGATTAATAAATTACTTGTATCTTTCTGAAGCTAAATCTTTTAAATGGGTCCTCAGAAATGGCTGAAGAGGGACTTTGTAATGCAGCTCTCTGAAACAGTCAGCTCCATTTATGCCTCTTTTGAAGACTCAAACTCATTGCCATCCAGTCAATTGAATTCATAGTGACCCCTCCTTGGCTTTCTGAGGCAGTATCTCTACAGAAGTAGATTGCCCAATCTTCCTTCTGGGGAGTGGCTGGTGGGCTTGAACCACCAGCCTTCTGGTTAGCAGTCAAATGCCTCAGGCACTATGCCACCAGAGCTAATATAAGAAAACTGGGCATTTAAGCAAAATATTTATCAAATTAATAGCTTCCCTAATTTTAAAAGCTTCTTTACTTACAAATTCACCCAATTCTACTGAGAAGGGAACAACTTAGAAATTGTAATTTGAAATTGCTTACTTATGTGTTGGTGTCTCAAATTAGACTGTGAGCTCCTGGATGATTGACACCCCAATCTTACTCATTTTGTTACTGAGTAAAGGGTTCATGTTGTTGTTATATGCCGTCGAGTCGAACCCAACTCATAGCGACCCCTCCTTGGGTTTCCGAGGCAGTATCACTACGGAAGTAGATTGCCCCATCTTCCTTCCGAGGAGTGGCTGGTGGG